GATAGCTAGTGGGAAGCAGCCGCATAGCACAGGGAGATCAGCTCGGTGCTTTGTGACCACCTAGAGGGGTGGGATAGGGAGGGTGGGAGGGAGACGCAAGAGGGAGGAGATATGGGGATATATGTATATGCATAGCTGATTCACTTTGTTATACAGCAGAAACTAACACAACATTGTAAAGCAATTATACTCCAATAAAGATGTTAAAAAAATAAAATAAAATAAAATTAGAGATTTAACTAAGCAATTCCATTGTAAAAAAAACAAAACAAAAAACTTTGAGTCAGATGTGCGACCTGGGGCCAAAGACTTCAGTCAGCCTATGGATTGTACTGTCACCTATGAAATGGTGATAGTTCCTACCTCATAGGTTTCTTGTGAGAATTAAATAAGATGGTGTATATTAAAGTCCTTTATGAACAGTAAGCTTTTTTACAAGTAGAAATATTATTATTGATAAGAATCAATTTTATATGCCTGTTATCAGAGAATTTATTCATTTTCCTCCCCTCCTGCGTTTCTCTTTCCCTTCTTCCCTCCTTCCTCCCTTTCTTCTTAACAAACATTTTTAAAGCACAAGGCCCTGTGCTAGGTACTGAGAATACAGTGATGTATTTAGAGGCAAGCTCTGCCTTCACAGAGCTCGCTTGTTTTGGTTGGTGGAAAGGAACACTTAAGTTGAATATTATAATAGAATTGGATGCTGGGCTACCATGTGCAATTTTGCAGGTGGTGCCTTACCCAAAAGCTCTTGGTTAGGCGGCCAGTAGTGAGGGCTGTGACTGCCCTAAGGAAGGGGTATCTTTTTCTGATTTGCCAAAGATGTGATAAGGGCTGGAAGTGGCCTTGATATACACTAAAAGGAAGTACAGGGCATCCTAGAATCCAAAGAATGAGTCTTTAACGCTGTTACTGATGGTATGAAAAAGGGCTTTGAAAGGATATATGCAGTTAGGAGAAAAACATAACCAACTTATGTAATAATTCCATATTTGCAAAACCAAAAGCATTCTATTTTTTCTATAATAAAACACTAAAGGAGCATGTGAGAGTTCTGTGTTTTAAAAGAAGTTTCAAATAAATAAATAAATAAGGTTTCAACCACCACCAGCTGCAAAACTAGGAGGAACCTTGGAGGTCAGTTCCAAAGATTCCATTTTCTTGAGAAAAGCGGGACCCAGAGAGGGCATGTGACAGACCCCAAGGCATTAGGTGACCCCGTGGCAGAGCTGGGCCTTCTGCGCAGGTTTCCCTACTTTCAGTCCTGGTGAGCTGCCTGAAGTATCTTTCTGAGGAGCCCTCAGATACAACATCTTCCTTGTATCCACGAGGTGCTCACGGAAGGAATATTATCTTGATTATTTGTGATAAGGAATTGTTGGGATGAAGAAGTCTCAGAAAAGGCAAGCAGCTTGCTCGAGGCTTCTCTGAGCCAGGACCAGAGGCCACGTCTGACACCCAGCCCCGTGCACCCTGCAGAGTGTGGGCTTTACCTGCATAGCTCATGAAGTTGCTGTAAGGAGTGTTGAAGAAGCTGTTAAAGCCACAGGTGTCGTTCCCTGGCCCCGGGTCACCGCAGAACTTGTGCTTTGGGGCTGGGTTGGTGTCACTGCAGAGGTCTCCGGTCTCAAAGGAGGGCTCTGTCTCCATGCAGGGGTCACTGCAAGATTGGATTTCTGAGATGCCTCGGAAGATGTGATAGAGGCCCAGGCTGTGCCCGATCTCATGGATCATGGTGTGGGTGTGCCCAGGAATGCCATAGAAAGATGGATTCAAGACAATGCCACCTGCAAGGGGAAAGCCAGAGGATTAGGCAAACTGGGCACTCTGCTTCCTGATGCAGGTATCCCCAAATCAACCAAGGGTAAATGGGGTGCTGCCCAAAGTAACCACAGGCTTCTCCACCCTATGACTCCACTGCTGAGAGCTGTTGCGACTTGCGGTGTTAATGACTGATTGAGTAGGAAGGAGTCTCAAAAGTCATTTTGTGCAATCCCTTCATTTTTCAGTTGAAAACACCGATGCCTAAAAAAGTGAGGCAACTTAACCAAGGGGATTTCAACCTACTTAGAAGAAGTGGCATAATTAGAATTCAAGGACTTTGATTTCTGGGCTGGCCAACATTTCAGCTGCAACTTCTCAGGAAGCGTGGCATGCCCTGGTTCACAAACACTCTACAGGCATTTGCTTAAATGAAGCCCTCATGGCCAGACACCTCGGTTCCGGTTCTCATTTTGCCTTCACTAACTCTGTGAAGTTGAGCAAATCACTTGCCATCTCTGAATCCCATTCCTGCAGCTCTGTACCCTTTGAGAGTGAATATTCATAAAGTCCAGCACCATGGCGCACTCACCATTATAACACTGGTCAAAATAGCCACTGTTTCTTGAGCATTCATTATGTATCCTCAGGCTCTGTGCTCAGTGTTTAATGTGTATAATCACATTGAATCATCTCACAACCCAGTAAGAGGGGCACTGACTCACAGAGAGGTGAAGTAACTGGCCCATGATCGAATTAGTAAATGGGGAGCTGGAATTTGAACCCAAGATCCTTGGGTTCCAAAGCCAGGGGTCTTAATCTGAGTTCTACTGCTAACGCTCACCACAGAGTCCAGAATATGGCATCTCATTAAATGTATGTTGAATATTTGCTGAATGCCGACCCAATTAAAGATGTTTTGTGAGGCCTAAGTAATCACGCGTAGGCAGCCGGCATAGCACCTGACACACAGCAAGTGCCCTACTTACTGTCTAACCACGTGCTACTCCAGGTGTAGCTCAAGAACAAGCAGCACCAGCATCACCTGGAGGGTGACTAAAAATGCAGACTCTTAGGCCCCACCCCAGACCTACAGAATCAGAGTAAGTACTTTAACAACAGCCCCAGAGGACTTGCCTGTGCGTTCCAGTTTGAGAAGCAATCATCTACCCCACGTCTTAAAAGACTGAGCTTTGCTTCACTTGGGCAGATAGATGGACCAGATGTCAGGAAAATCAATGGATAGCATGGCTCTATGTTCATTTTTAGGCACTGGAGAAATACATACAGGCTGGCAGAGAGATATTTCAACTGGAAAATCCAAGTGTGGGGAATTTCCTGGCGGTCCAGCGGTTAAGACTCGGTGGTTTCATTGCTGGGGGCGCAGGTTCGATCCCTGTTCGGGGAACTGAGATCTCACAAGCCACGCGGAGTGGCCAAAGAAAAAAGAAGGAAATCCAAGTGTGTTTAAGGGAAGGTTAAGATGCAAGTCTGAGCAACCTGCAAACAGTGACTGTGTGCAGAGCAGGATCTTATGAAAGAATGGAGAGGAGCCAGGGCCTTGCTGATTTGTGCTGGCAAGCCTGGAGCAGGCATGGGGGTAGTTTTATCTTGGACTGAACTGCTGGGAGGGTAAGACTGCTCAGCCATGGGGCTCATGGAGTCTATTAATTCTGAACTGCTCAGAGCCTTCCAGCACAAAGATAAAGATGTATGAGAGGATGTGTGGGGCTGTGTGCACGCGCGGGTGTATGTGAGAAGGGGGAGGCAGAGGCAGGGAGGAAGAGAAATTGAGACAGGAAATCTCTCTCAATTATTTTCTGTCAATCATAATATGAAACATAATCACCTTCCCACCCAAGGCTTTTTCCAGGGATCATGGCATAACAGCAGGAAAAGAGGGTAAAAAAAAAAAAAATATATATATATATATGGTTCTAATAAATTGGGTTTGATTGGGCCTACTGCAGAGGAGTTGCTTATGATCAAGATGTCTCAGGATGGGGAGATGGCAGCCTGGAGGCCAGCTGGAATTAGCTTGACATGGATTGCAATCTTCATTCTGTCTTGCACTGGCTGTGTCATCTTGGGAAAGTGACTTTGCATCTCTGGCGTGCTCTAAAATAAACAGCTACGATAGATAGCGCCAATGATTCTCTGTCTTTCTATGAAGCTTTAACATTGAGGTAAATGGGGAATGGGAGGCTGGCAGGACCCCTCAGGTATTTCTGGGGATAATGACAGGATTGCAGACTTAATGTCCAGCCTGGCTCTGTCTGTTTCACCTCATCCCCTCCCAACTCTCCCCTTTTCACAGAGCGACAGCACAGAGCTTGAGCCCTGTTCCACTGCTTCTCTTAAAAGGTGACATAGCTTGAGGCTGACATCATCCTGAAATACTATAACATGCTATGGATTTATAGCCTTCTGTATTCCTGGTCCTGAGCCAGTCTCTGAGATTCACGGTATTATCAGGAGTATTTTTCTCTAATTTTAGAAGCCTGCTGTTCCACCCTTCTAAAACTCTGATCATGACCCTTTTGGTTGATTTTCCAAGAGGACAGAATTTCAGCACTGAGAAGGGTCCTTGGAGACCCTCTAAGTCTAACCTATTCCTTTAAAATCTGAAGAAATTGAGACCTGGAGAAGGAAAGAGTCTTGCCTAAGGCCATCCTGTTAAGTCACAGCTAAGAACAACCATGTATTTTGGCCCTGAACCAGCAAAATTACCATACACCATGTTAGGCATGTGACATGAGCTAACCAGCTTCAGCCTGCCTAAGCTGCACACTCTCTTTTGCCTCGCCCTTGTCTGTCTAGGTCTGCCTGTCTATCTGTCTACCCACCCATCATCTATCTTAGGGCTTCTCAACAACAGCACTACTGGTATTTTGGGCTGGATAATTCTTTACTGTGGGTATTGTAGGAGGTCTAGCAGCATCGCTGGCCTCTACCCACTAGATGCCAGTAGCATTCCCCCATTTGTAAAATCCAAAATTTTCTCTAGACATTGTCAAGTGTCTCCTAGGGCATAAAAATCCACCCAGTTAGAACCACTGGATATTTATTTTTGTTTCTATCTATTTACACAACCACACATATGTGTGTGTGCACACACACAGACACACAAATTGGTTTCACTCTCTTAAAAACAACTAGGAAAAGACAGTGGTCTGGAGGGAACTAAGTCTAGAGTTTGACTCAACACAACTTTATTGTTTGAAGTTGCAGAGTCCCTTATCTCTAAGATATTGTGGATTTAGAGCAGCTGCTGGACTCTGGCTGTATCACCAGGAGACCAGACAGGCCTGAGGAAAGATCCAGCACCATCACTCTGCTGAGCCCTAACATTCTCAGATGAAGGTACTCACTGAGTCATCACTATTCACTGGTGTAAATAATAGGAACATTCTAACAAGGGGAAAAGAGCCAAATAAATGGCAGTGCCCTCAGTCAATAGAACATTATGTGGCTATTAAAAAAATACCTTGTCTTTAGAGAATTGGACATAACCTAGAGAGATGTTTTCCTCTTGTGATGTTAAATGAAAAAAAGTTGGGTGGGAAGTAATTTTGAAGACTGTTTCAACATGGGAAAATGTAGATAGCATAATACTAAGTGAAAAAAAAGAATATTAAGTGAAAAAGAACACATGCATGTATGCTATGATTTCAAATATGCACAAGTTGAAAAATGCATGTCTACCTATAGACGTGTATTGGAAGAGAGCATGGAAAAATTAAAATTAAAGAACAACGTTTGCTTACAGGGCCTGGTTCAGAAACCACTGTCATTTCTGACTTTTGGTGACTGGTTTGTGTAAACGTCTGTCTTGTTTATGGATTTGAATAATTTGAATGTAAGAAGAGTTCCTGGTGGCGTTGCTGGGTGGAATATGGAGGAACAGGGAGTTCTTACGAACTCTCTCTTGCCTCTTTGGCATCTTTCAAGTCAACCCATCACTGGCTGGGCCAGCACAATGTGGTTACTAGGTAGAGAAGATATCTGCATGAACTAAGAGGCAGGGGGTATAAAGAGAAAGCAACAGATGGAGAGAGTTGGAAATTTAAATTCCAGTTGTGGTCCTGCCGCTGATTTGTTTGTGACCTTGGATAAGTCCCATTCCCTCTCTGGATCTTAAGTTTCTCCATTGGTAGAACAGGATTAATAACATTGTGATATTTCTCAAAGCATCACTTGATGTGTGAAAGATAAGGAATGCTAAAGAGTTTTGAAAAATTAAAAAGTGATAAGTAAATAGGTTCACCATCATCACTACCACGATCTCCATCACCATCATCCTTACTACTAAACGTATTCCTGTACTAATCCAATTTCTTCCTGAAGAAGTTTCTAATTCTCACCTAAATGCATTAGGGCCTCCTTGTCCCATGGCCAAGTTGCTACTCCTGCCAATTCCTCCTCCGAGGAGTTTGCAAAGAAGATATTGAGGTGTGTTGATCCATCCAGTCTAAGAATGTTCTTCAGCTCATTAACATCCAAGTATGCTCTGTAAGAGAAAAAGAACCTTGGCTGTCATCACCATCCAAAAAAGGTAGTATTCAAATAACAGGTACTCCCAAATTAATTGAGTCACGATGTGCCAGGCACTTGGCTAAGCATTTTATAAACATCGTCTCACTGACTGCCTCCAATAATCTTCTATGGTAAGTGAGATAATCCCATCTTACAGATGAAAAAATTAAGTCCTTGTGAGTTTAAGAAACTTGAAGACTGCTCAGCTTATAAACAATAGCAGAGTTCAGTTTAAAACCTAGATTTATCTAAAGTCAACATCTGTGCCCCTAAGGACTCTGCTATATGGACTGATGATAGGGCAACATAATGCGGATATAGATGGAGAACAGACCATGGAAGAGATAACATGTATTCTAGCCTTGGCGTCTTCCCTACTTCATTCATTCACTATGGACCTCGGACCACGTATTTGGCAAAAACAAAGCTGTCCCAGGAGGCCTACTTTGCATCTCTACTCAAACCTTGCAAGGAGGTGTTATTACTCTGTTCTCAAGATAAGCAACATGTGGTCCAAAGTGATGAAATAGGTTGCCCGAAGTTGCAGAACTGGGTTTCAAGGCCAATTCCGTCTAGCTTGGAAACTTACGCTCTTTACGCTGGGGCGTTATCTGCCTCCCATGGATGATTCTGCATTCTGTAAGCCTCTATTTCTTTGTCCATAAAATAGGCTAAGGGATATGGCATTTGGGGTAGCTGCCATTGTAGATATTTAGAATATAGACTGACGTGTTCGGAAAGTAAATTAATTCCCCACGCTACGATCATCAGCTCTTTAATACACCGAACAAACATAGGTTGGAGAGAGAAAGAAATGGCCTTTGGAAAGAGACTGGCATATCCTAGGTGCACAATAGATAAGACCGCTTCCCTTGCGGAGTGTGATTTTCCCACCAGAACAGGAATGATAAAGCTTTGGGTCAGTCACAGGCATATTATTATCATTTTTTAACCTCTTTATTGGAGTATAATTGCTTTACAATGGTGTGCTAGTTTCTGCTGTATAACAAAGTGAATCAGCTATACGTATACATACATCCACATATCTCCTCCCTCTTGCATATCCCTCCCACCCTCCCTATCCCACCCCTCTAGGTGGTCACAAAGCACTGAGCTGATCTCCCTGTGCTATGCGGCTGCTTCCCACTAGCTATCTGTTTTACGTTTGGTAGTGTGTATATGTCCATGCCACTCTCTCACTTTGTCCCAGCTTACCCTCCCTCCTCCCCGTGTCCTCGAGTCCATTCTCTACATCTGCGTCTTTATTCCTGTCCTGTCCCTAGGTTCTTCAGAACCTTTTTTTTTCTTTTTTTTAGATTCCATATATATGTTAGTATACGGTATTTGTTTTTCTGTTTCTGACTTGCTTCACTCTGTATGACAGACTCTAGGTCCATCCACCTCACTACAAATAACTGTTTAGTTTCTTTTTTATGGCTGAGTAATATTCCATTGTATGTATGTGCCACAACTTCTTTAACCATTCATCTGTCGATGGACACTTAGGTTGCTTCCATGTCCTGGTTATTGTTAAATAGAGTTGCAATGAACACCGTGGTACGTGATTCTTTTTGAATTATGGTTTTCTCAGGGTATATGCCCAGTAGTGGGATTGCTGGGTCATATGGTAGTTCTAGTTTTAGTTTTTTAAGGAACCTTCATACTGTTCTCCATAGTGGCTGTATCAGTTTACATTCCCACAAACAGTGCAAGAGGGTTCCCTTTTCTCCACACCCTCTCCAGCATTTATTGTTTGTAGACTTTTTGATGATGGCCATTCTGACTGGTGTGAGGTGATACCTCACTGTAGTTTTGATTTGCATTTCTCTAATGATTAGTGATGTTGAGCATCCTTTCATGTGTTTGTTGGCCATCTGTATATCTTCTTTGGAGAAATGTCTATTTAGGTCTTCTGCCCATTTTTGGATTGGGTTGTTTGTTTTTTTGTTATTGAGCTGCATGAGCTGCTTGTACGTTTTAGAGATTAATCCTTTGTCAGTTGCTTCATTTGCAAATATTTTCTCCCATTCTGAGGGTTGTCTTTTCATCTTGTTTATGGTTTCCTTTGCTGTGCAAAAGCTTTTAAGTTTCATTAGATCCCATTTGTTTATTTTTGTTTTTATTTCCATTTCTCTAGGAGGTGGGTCAAAAAGGATCTTGCTGTGATTTATGTCCTAGAGTGTTCTGCCTATGTTGTCCTCTAAGAGTTTGATAGTGTCTGGCCTTACATTTAGGTCTTTAATCCATTTGGAGTTTACTTTTGTGTATGGTGTGAGGGAGTGTTCTCATTTCATTCTTTTACACGTAGCTGTCCGGTTTTCCGAGCACCACTTATTGAAGAGGCTGCCTTTTCTCTGTTGTATATTCTTGGAGGCGTATTATTTAATGGATCGTTTTCTCAATTGACAGAGGGATCTTGCTCACCCGCGTGCTTCTTTCAGCCCCATTTTATGTCTGCCATCTTCTTTCTTAGGAATCCTTGTGAACAGCTGGTAAGCATTTCTTGAGTAAAGTTGGAAATGAATCAATGAATAAAAACATACATAAAGAAGCAAGCAGGCAGCCTGATGTCGTAGGTGAGATAAAGCCTCTGAATAATGATATTTAATGTTCGTTGGGCCCTTCCATGTGGTCTGACTTTACATGAATTATCACCTTTAATCTTCTCAATAACACCGAGGTAGGTGGTATTATTATCCCCATTTCCCAGAGGAGGAGAAAGAGGCTCACAGAGCCTTCGTACCTCGCTCGGGTCACACAGCTAGTTGGGAGAGTCTGGCTTCTCACGGGGGTTTGGTGCAGAGTCTGGCCAGTAGAACACTAATGATGCTGCCTTTCTCTTTCCCTCCTGGAATCACAGAAGGGGATCCCACATGTGAAAGAGTAAAGTCAGAGGTCCCCAGCAGGGCCTGCAAGACCCTGTTTCCCCCTTTAGCTTCTTCTCCCTCTGTTCCCTCTCTTGCATTTCTCACTGTGTGTTGTCAGCACCCCCCGCCCGCCCCCCCAAGATGCAGTGGCTTTATCCTCAGTGCCTTTACTCACGCTGTTCCCTCTGTCAGGGACTTGGCTCCCATTTTATCCCCTGATGAACAAATCCGAAGTCCATTCTGGTACCACTCCTCCAGGAAGACTTCCCTGAGTCCCATCTCACCTCCACCCCCTGTACCATCTCTGTACTCGTCTACCTCCTATGAGTACTCGCTCTCACACCATTCCAAATACCCTACCTGTCTGTATCTACCACTGATTGTGGCTCCCAGGGGGCAGGGAGTGTGCCTAATTCATCTCTGTTTACCCAGTTCTCTGCACAGGGCTTGACACTGGGCAAGCACTCAGGAGATGTTGATGGAGCTGAATTTACATTGGGAAAGAGAAAATCTAAACCATTTAGGTCCCAGCCTCAGCTTCAGCACTTCCTTCCTATGAGGCCTCAGTTTCCTTATCAATATACTGGCATTAATAACAGCTGCCTGGTGCTTCCCAGGACATTTCTATGCGTCACAAACCTACACCTCCACTCCGACGGCAATAGGATATGTCTGAGACCTACAGTGCACTCCTGGCCGCCCACTGATCAAGAGCCCATGATAGTCAGGTGACGATAATTTTCGCAGCTTTTCCAACAAAGGTGAGCATGAGTTGGAGACACAAGCAAGGCCTAGAAAGAGCACATCTGTGTATAGGTTGAGCTGACTAGTAATTCCAAGGACAGCCACGGAAGCTGAAATATTGACCCGAAATTTTGCCGCTATACCTCCTCTCCCCAGAGATCTCACCTTCAGCTCTTTAGGCTAGAAGCCTCATAAGGAGTTTGAATGAGTTCTCTGATCCGAGTAGGGATGAGGAATGAGAAAGACAGCAGGCAGTAAGCTTCTGCTGTGTGCCAGCCCCTGTGCTAGCTACACCTGTTGTCCCATCTCTTTGCAGTATTTTTGTTTTGTTTTGTTTTGTTGGCAGTACGCGGGCCTCTCACTGTTGTGGCCTCTCCCGTTGCGGAGCACAGGCTCCGGACGCGCAGGCTCAGCGGCCATGGCTCACGGGCCCAGCCGCTCCGCGGCATGTGGGATCCTCCCGGACCGGGGCACGAATCCGTGTCCCCTGCATCGGCAGGCGGACTCTCAACCACTGTGCCACCAGGGAAGCCCTCTTTGCAGTATTTGAAGTCACGTAGCAGAGTGGGTAGCATGGCTCATTCTCAAGCCAGAGTCCTGGGTTTGAATCCAGCTCTTCCACTGGATGTCTGGGTCACCTTGGGCTATTTACTTAACTTCCTGCACCCCAGTTTCTTCATACACAAAACGAGGATGATAATAGTATCTACCTCATAGAGTTGTTCTGAGGATTTAGGATGTTAATAAAGAAAGTGTAAAGGGCTTAGAATAATACCTGGAAATGTTTAGCAATTCCTATTATTTATCCCCATCTTGCAGATGAAGGAACAGGGGTTCAGAGATCACATAAATACAGACAAGGCCAAGTCCAAATCTAGATGTGTCCAATTCTTCCCTCAACCTCACCCTCAAGTCCAAGCTCACTCAGGGCCACTGTGAAAGGAAACAATGTGTGGGAGGAGAATGGAAACACAGAGAAGCCAAAATTTTCCTGGATCGGCCCTTTGCACATATTTATTATTTTCTAATTGATTTGTCCATTTCCATCAAGCGTTCTCTCAGGCAGAGAGCACACATGCTATTAGAGGAAGTCACCCCTTTGCGCCTTTGCTCCAGGCTGAGAAAGCTTCAGGAGAGGAAGACAGGGGTGGGGCAGGGGCAGGGAGATGTTTTAATTGGTTGTTTATTCTCATATAATTGCAGAAACCAATCTTTTCAGGGGGTGGTATTCATCCTGGCCCAAGGCAGAGATGTGGGATATTGAGGCCTCTCCCTTGCTTGTATGTGGGTGTTTTTTTTTTTTCTTCACACTTTGAGAAGCCCCCATTTCCCAAAAGAGGGGCCACTCAGGCCCCTGATCCCA